ACAAGGTTTACATTTCCCAGACTTCAGGCAGGATGTGGTTGGATGTTCAGCTTACCCCTCAGTTTGTTCTAACTGTTTGTACCTTAGATTAACAGTTTGTTCTTTTGTGGGATTTATGGTTAACTAGGAGGGGAGAGGGTGAGGACTGAGTTCATCTATATTTTAAATGACTCTTAAAATGGAGTTCTACAATAAAAGTCTTTCAGTGTTTTGGAGTCATTTCTGCCATGTCAATTCAGGTTGAGACATTCATCCCCCAGGAAAGGATGATTGGCCTGCCGGCATTCTGGAAAGGGGCCAAGAGAAGTCAGAACTCAAAACATCTGGAGGGTTGGCTTCATAAGGTAGCTACAGGTGTCAGAGTGAAGTGCCAACAAGTTCAAGCTGGCAGAAGTTCAGGGAGCAGAGTGCAAGCCAGCAAGGGGCTCAGTCCAAGCAGGCAGGGTGCAGAGTTCAAGTCAGCAGGAGTCACTTGCAGTGCTATGGGCTAAAAACCTGAGGTCTAAGCCTCATAGCCAAACCAGCATCAGCCTGAACTTGAGGGGAACACAGGCCTAGGTTTCCTGGGATTATCTACCACCATAATTCTACTGCTGTCTTGCAGGGATCAGTCAGCAGACATTTTTTTTTTCTACTTTTTTCCTTTTTTTGCTTTTTAATTTTATGACAAAGTCTAAAACAAACCAGAAAATCATTTGCTGTACACAAGTATTTAGTACATCAATTCTACTCTCAGGGGATAAAACGTCAAGTGGATTAGGGAGAAAATACAGAAGTGGAGGAAGAAGAAATTAGAATGCTGGAGGACAAAGCGGGTTCATACTAACACTGGGAAACTGGTGCAGGAGATTGGAGGGAGAAGAAGAGATAAGAAGACAAACAAAGAAAAATCACAACAATACAAAAAAGGCAAAACTAACACAACAAAGAAAACAAACAATAAAAACAAACAAAACCAATAACAATAAAAGCCCACTTCCAGTTTTGTCTCTGCTATCACTGTTTTCTTTTTCTCTCTCTCTCTTTTTTTTT